ACTTCCTTGATGTAAAGCTAGATAGAAGAGAGAATGGTACGTTGCTAAGGTCGATTTATCGAGAGGCAACATTCACTGGGCAGTACACTAACTTCAACAGTTGTGTACCTTTAGGGAGAAAGAGAAATCTTATTCATTCCTTATGCTCCCGAATTCATAAAATCTGCTCTGCAGAGACAATCGATAGTGAACTAGACAAGCTTCAATCAAATCTCCTTAATAATGGTTATCCTACAAGGTTTATCGAACGTAATATCGAGAAAGAACACGCTCCCAGACAAATTACAGTGCCAAAGAAGAAACTGTTTATGAGTCCGGCATTCAAAGGTGACACCATTTCGGAATTGATTAAAAATCGTTTATCTAAATGTATTAAACGTACTTTTCCTGCAGCTGACTTACAACTAGTTTTTACCAGCCGAAATATGATTAGACAATGCGTCAAGGACAGATTACCGCTTTTGTCCACATCCATGTGTATTTACTCTTTTACCTGCTCTTGTGGAGCTGTTTATATTGAACGTTGTAAGCGTAATCTCCGAAAACGTGTAGCTGAACACTATCCAGTCTGGTTAATGAAAGGCGAACGTAGAACTGCGAAGTCGTCTATCTGTGATCACCTGTTAGAGTCAGGTCATGTAGCCCCACGTGATCCATCTTTCAAAGTTATCTACATGGCAAAATCGAATCAATCCAAAAGTTTACGTTTTCTTCACTTATGCATAGCCGAAGCTTTAGCTATACATGAACAGAAACCTAAATTATGTGTTCAAAAACGTTTTGTCAAACCCCTCTCTTTACCTTGGTCATAGTAATGTTCTTTCTAGTTTTTACTTTATTTTATTTTACCACTTGAATTCTTTCCACTTCACTTCACATCTTCATTCTTATCGTAATGGTACTCTTATTTTTTAAAATTTTTAGACAACACTTGACATTTTTAAAACATTTTTGATTTTAATTCACTTATAAAACAATCTTTAATAATTTTGTAATTTATCCACTTCAACTCTACCCCTTATAACATTTTAATTATCGTTATTCTTATCACATATATGTATATTGACTGAGCAATTATTTAGTGTCATCCCCAAATCTCAACTAGATTTCCAGCTGATAATTAGCCTAGAAATGAGGGTAGGTTAGGCGTGAGACTAGTGCATCCAACCTCGTATAAAACAACACCTCTGCTAATGAAACTTCAAAGCTTAAATTTTCAAGTCGTATATTCTACTTGGAACGCAAAGGAATCGAAAAACAAAGTAATATGCTTAATTTACATGAGTTGTTAATACATAGCAGATAAATATTACCAACGCATTATTCAGGATTCAGATTTTCAACACCATTGTCAAATTAGTTCCTCTATATGGGTCGGAAATTTGGCCAGGGAGTCACGGAAATCATTTATAACAAGTTACAGACTTTTATCAACAGCTGCCCACTTCGCTGGCTCTGTATTGATTATCAAATGGCCAGAAAAAATTAGCGACAAGAAACTTAGGTGACAAATCAATCAAGAATCCATTACTCAGCAAATATGTAGGAGAAAATGGGGATGGACTGGGGACACACTGAGGAGACCATCCAATGACATTGTGTGCCATGCCATCACTTCAGTGGAATCCGAATGGGAAATGACGTATGGGTCGTCCTAGGGTGACATTGACGAGATCGTCAGAAGGAGAGATGAGAGATTATAGGCAGTCATGGGCTCAGATAAACAGGACGACAAAGAATAGATCAAAGTGTAGATGTGTTGTTGAAGCCCTATGTTCCACTCGGAACCCAAGGGGATGATAAAATAATAATTATTAGTAATCATGAGTTCCACGTTAAGCAGCCCTAGAAAGGGTTTATTAAAGTTGCTGGGTCTTAACCAAATTTTAAAAAAAACCACAAAATAATTGAGTATAACTTTAATTACAATAATAATAATAGTTAATACCAGAAAGCTGTAGTGAAATTCTATTCATTTTATCAAAATTTTTCAGACGGAGAATACATCACACTATCTACTTGAAAGGTATGTCTTAGGTTTAAAGGATTAAAACCTGGGAGCACTATTATCCAACTAACTGTGTATTTTACACGTTTACTTTTAATGCACATAGTCTGTTTTCTTATAAATTTGTACAAAAAGAGCATAAATGGCAATTAAGCTGTCTGCTATAAGTTGTGTAGACACATACTATGTCACATTATATACAGACATATATGCACCTGGTTCACACTCGTGATGATATTAATACTTATTAGTGTGAAAATAAAATCGCAGAGGGTTTTGGAATGGTATTCAGTGGTATAAAGGATTGTGCCGTATATATATATATATATATATATAGTACATACAAGAAAAGCTGCATCGTTATTCGAGAACTCTTCACCATCGAGTTATCGCAATGGATTCGTTGCACTGGAGCATACGAGTAAACTGACTTCATTAAAATCATTTTCTACCGACTAATGATATTAGATAGGCTTACAGATCAACTGAAAGCTAGTGATCCGTTATTCTAAGTCAGAGACTATTACTGCTGACTACATAGACTCTAGTATGCACTTTTTCCATTCCTTATGATTTCCGAGTAGAATATAAGGCTTCAAGCTTTGAGCATTCTGGTTTCAGTATCCATGGTTTGTCACTTTTTAAAAGGTAGGATTACTAGCCTTACACCTGAACTTCCCTCTTTTTTGAGATTACCACCGACTAGTAAATTAGGCGGGGTTTAGGGATCAGTGGGCCAGGAATCGAACCTAGATCTCCCACATGACTGATGCTTATTTCACTATCTAACTACCGATGCACATGGACTAGATAATGGTTGAATGAAACTCATATGAGACAGTAATTTGGTAATTTGATAGTACTTAGATTGATAAAATGCAACCAATTTCACGTCATGTAGTTAGTCAATTAGTTAGTTAACTCGTTGACCAACTGGTTATCACAAAGCACTTTTGGTCGATATTGCTTAACTAGTCAGTTAAAAATTACTGAACAAAAGGTCTACGGGATTGAAATAATGACTGTTAAAATGGATTAATGTCCAATTATTATATATTTACGACAAACAGAAAGCAAATTCTCTTTTTCGTTACAGTTAATTATAGTATTAGGCATTATGTAATACACAATGCTGAAATTATTCAGACAATGCAATTAAGATATATATATATAGCTATTTACTCCTGGTAAAATTTACTGATATACGCCGCACGTTTTTACTTTCAAGCAAAGAGAAACTCAGTAATTATCTAGTATCTTTGGTTTCTGTCCACTAAAACCTGCAATTATACAAGTAACATTCTTTTGGTTCAGATTATATTTTATTTCATTGAATACCTCGCATTTAGACAGTGTGACTAGAACCAGTATTTTCTGAAAAAAAGTCTAACTCATAATTGCTTAGATAAATAATAATAATTGTCCTGATTGAGAGAGAGAGAGAAAGGGAGCATAAATTGCATTCAAAAGCAAGCAAAAAGTTCAGTTGGCTTTTATCCTAATAAATGACATGATCAACTGTAGACAGACCACTTTCACTAAACAATAACGCTAGTTGTTTTTTTTAATATCATTTATCCTGTCAAACTGATCAAATATTATAGCCTGAATGTTTTATTTTCCACAGGAACTAATCCTCCTGTCTGACCTCCTGACAAACTCAGTGTACTATCCTCGGGATCAGTGATGTTGTTTAGAGCATCTTTGTGTGACTGGTGAACGCTGATGGTGCACGGGAGTAGTTATACACTACTCATGACAGCCAGTATTACGTAGAGTTTTGAAGTTTAGATATTTTCATTTCTATAGTTCAAATGTTATTAAAGGAGATAATTAATGAATTTTTCATTTTAAATAAATCGTTATTTCACTATAGCGTTTCAGCCCTTTCATTATTATTTTTTCGGGAAATCAATACTACCCAAACACCTTATTCCCACGTTTTATTCTAGTCCAAATATTACAATCCATCATAATGTATTTCTTGTATTTCACCGCTAGCCACCATGGCTACACTAAATCTAGAAATGACAACTGAAATTACTTCAAATACTGTCTGAATTCAAATGTCCATCATAGCATGTAACTTGCCTGAAAAATGATTGTTTCAACTTATAACAGTAAACTGGTGAAAAATAACTGTCGTTAAAAACCAGACAACCAGAAAAAAAAGTAAATGTTTTATCTGCTATTACTTCTGAAATATAATTAGTTGCAAATGTCTTTCAAAATGTCCTTAGGGCTTGTAGACATTTCATTAAAGTATTGGTTTTTTAGGGATTTTGTTTGATTGGTTGGAGGATTTCATCATGAGCTGACATCATTTAGAGAACCATTGGATAACCAACTGGGGAGTACTGGACAGCTGTTTCGTCAGCCCAGTCTGGGACTCTTCATCAGTACACATCCACCGATGGGATTCGAACCTAGAACCTTCTGGTTACAAGGCCCTCGAGTTAGTGGACCACTAAGTCACTGGAACTCGATCCAATGGCCAGCCCATGAATTCTAACTTTTGCCTATTCACGACATAGCGTGACCACTTCGCAATGTCTTCTTCGATGAGCTACTGCCCCTACTTCAACGAACTGTACCCTGCTGGTCACAGCTTCCTACAAGAACCCCAGGTTATTTTTTTGTTACAAAGTGATCAGCACTGAACTGGTATTTCACCCGTTGATTAAGACGAAAGACAAGGAAGAAGTAGTTAGATACACGTCGACCGGGTTTGATTCCCAGCCGATGCACTCCTACACCTCGCTTAGCCAGTGGTAGGCAAGTCAGGTGAAAGAGGGAAGGTTGAGCGTGACGTCACCAGCTCTTTTCCCCCTTCACATGAAGAAAATAATACCACTAGTATACTGGAACCTTAAAGCTCAAAACTTGAAGCTCTTACATTCCATTTTGGAATACAAAGGAATGAGGAAAAAATAAACAGTAATAATTAATGAAAAAAAGAAAACATTCAAAAATGTGTATACATATCACCTACTTTGTCCATCACATTTTCGTATGATTGTATCAAGGAATGTATTCTGTGGAGCTAATAATCCACGTCGAGTTGTAAACATGATGTAATTCTTAGAAGTTATGAAGTAGGCATTAAAAATTAATTAGAATTATCTTTTCTCGTAAAATAATAATAATATATATGTATATATAGATACGGAGAGTGACATTAATTATATGTTTACTTCTTTTAAATGCACTCGCGCATAAATCAATTATCAGTCATTATTTCATTGTGTATATCCAACTTGTTATTTAAGACTATGTATGTTGATGAAGGCAATTGAAGTACGACAACTGGAAGTCATTGAACATAAAATGAAATCAAGGCTAGAAAATAATCACTTTGATGATGTAGTAGAAATTAGAAAGAAAAACGAAAATAGGATGAGCATTTGTATGCAGAATAGAAATAAACTCCAGTAAATATTTTTGATGATAATTGTACATGTTAAGTACCTGTATGTTTTGTAGAGAGGTTGAGGAGACAAACTTATAAAAATTATAATCTGTCTATCCCTCTTAATAGTAGAATTTTTTCTACTTGAACTCTATTCATAAGTGCATATATATATATAATCTAAACTCAGAAAGAATACTCGATGAGTAGATGGTGAAAAGACAGGCATATAGTGTTTATCCTACTATCAGGAAATCATCCTACTGGTCCATAGCTATGCATTAACATAGTTTTGTTAAAAAAAAGAATAATATTCTCATTCCTATTTGGTTCTCATATTTATTATAATAAATACTGTGAAATCTGTTTATATATTACTTTTGTTAAGGTCAAGAATCAAGAAAATGAAAGTGATACCAATTACATAAATAAATCGTAAATGTATTAAAATATTTAATTTGTTTATTTAACAGTGATATGTTTTGCATTGGTGGTCAGCACTTGCTATTATATTATTATTATTATTACTGTTCCCTTGGGTTCCAAGTGGAAAATAGGGCTTCAACAACACATCTCCACCTTGTTCTATTTTCTGCTCTCCTCTTCAGCTGGATCCACGACTGTCAATAATCTCTTATCTCCTCACATAATCTCCTTCATGTCACCCTCGCACCGACAATCCAATCGTCGCTTCCCATTTGGATTTCACTCGAGCAATGGCCTGCGTTGAGCGCAATGTCATTCGACAGCCTCCTCGATGTATGCCCGATCCATCTTCATTTTCTCCCAAATATTTGTTAAGCAATCGACTCTTCGATGGTTTGTTTCCAGAGTTCCTGGTTGCTAATTTTTTCTGGCCTGCCATTTGATCGTCATTATGGAGGCTGCGAAGGCAGCTTTTGATAAGAGTCTATAGAAGCCTGTTTTTAGTTCTCTTCGTTACACGCAGTGCAAGTTTCTGACCCGTATAGAAGAAATGACTGACTTCACATCTGCGTTGAAAATCCAAATCTTGTTCTTCATGCTGAGCGCAGAAGATTTCCGAACTGGTTTCAGGTTGATGAAGGCGTATCTTGCCTTTCCAATTCTGACTGGCTTTGACATGTTCATCCGTTCCGCTGGTCTGTGGTTGAAACAATGCTGGCTGCCTAGATAAGTGAAGGAAGTAACCTCTGTTAAATTTCCCCCGTTGTTGGTGCTGGTTGACGCTGTTCCTGTTGGTTGATTGTTTTCATTACCTCCGTCTTCTCTATGTTTATTTGGTGTTCTGTCTTCGCTGCCTGCTTCTTCAGCCAGTTTGTTGGTTTGTGTGACATTGTACATAAATCCCACACTTGCTATACAGTTCATTTATGAATATAATCTAATTATTCGAATACAATAAAAGTGACATAGCCTGCCAGGTCCTCAAATGGAACTCTTCATCGGGAAGTGACGAGTTGTCAGTTGTACAAGGGTAACATGATGAAAATCGTGTGAAGAGGAGGTGAAAGCACGTAGAAAGTCATAGAACCAGTTGACACTGATGGCAAATAACAGAGTGTAATGAAGATGTGCCTGTGGAGCCCTATGTTTTACTCGGAACTCAAAAAATGAGTAATCATAGTAATAATATATTTCGAGCGTAATTTAGGAGTAGAGTGAACTGTTTTCTCAGCATATTTTTGCAAATTTTGATTTAATTGTAATTTGAAAAGGGAATAGGATGGATTGCATGTGTCCTATTAGATCACGTAACAGATCGTGGGCAGTGAGAAGGCGGACATACATTGAACCGAGAAAAAGACTCCAGTAGACCTAAACTTTGCCGATTATTTATGTCTCCTGTCATAAACACTCAAAGATCTACGAGTGAAAACCAACAAGTCTTAAAAAAACATGGCAAAGACAGGAATTCAAGTGAACGTAGAGAAGACAGAGGTGATGAAGATACGTTACCAGCAGCAACAAGCACTATCTACAGTCAACGGAAGAAGTTTGAAGGGAGTCACATCTCTCATTTACCTGACCTAGACACTATCGACTTGAATACGGCTAGCACGAATGAGGGTGTCAAAGACAGGATCGGAAGTGTAAGACAGATCAACATGAATTTGAAATCAGTGTGGAAATCTGCTGTACTCCGGAACATGGGAAAAGATTTGGATTTTCAACAGTGATTTCAAGTCAACCAGTGTTTCTTTATGGTTTAGAAACTTTACATACGCGTTACGAAAAGCATTTTAAGCAAGCTAGAGACTTTCATAAACAGCCATCTTTGCTAATTACTGAAGATTAGATGGCTGAACAGAAAGGATAAGTAACAAGGACCTCTGACAAAAAACCAAACAAGAACAAACTGCTCTAGAAATATGGAGAAGGAAATGTAGATGGATTGAACATATGCTGAGGAGGCCTTTGAGTGACATCGGGCGCCACGCCACGAGGTGGAAGCTGAATAGGAGACAATGAGTAGGTTGTGAGTTCAAGTGTGACATGGCTGAGATCATGTGATGAGGGAATAAAAGCTTACCAGCGATTGTAGAGCCAGATAAAGTGTAGACTGCAAAGAACAGGGTGAAATGGAGATGTGCTGTTGAAGCCCTATGTCCCACTAGGAAGCCAAAGTAATAATTATAAAGATAATAATACTGCAAGCAAGGTAAGGAATACTTTTGGGTAACCTAATTGAATCTTAAGTAATTTTTCCAGCATTTAGTTATAGAAATACTTCGTAAAATGAATGAACAACTGGATTAAAATCTTAAATAATGAATACAAATATGTATCTTAAAAAAACAAATGCAGTGAATAATCATATCACACAGTTAAAAATGTGTTTATAAAAACCTTGGATGGAAGAGAGTCAGCAATGTAATACGTAAAGAGAGGTCAGAATCACTATAATGCTGACATTTAGGATAAAAACATCAGGAACTCAGGCTAATGGAATATGCTTAAACCCAAAAATTATTACTTGAAGAGAAAATTCCTAGACTAAAAGATTATATGGGATCAATTAAGCATAAATAATTTGACATATGAAATATAGTACAGTCATTATGATTCTAAGTATGTAGGACTAAGTAGTAGATTGGCTTAAGTCAGAATAGCTAAATATGAACTCTGTCTATCTGAGGAAAAGTGAATACATTTGATAGTGTGGCGTGGGCTACTGACAAGATTTATCAGTAGTATATATTAAGAGATGTTCATCGGCAAAAAAAACATTAGATAGCAGGGAGATGCATTTGATGTCAGAGAAAGCAAAGACATACAATGAATTTATGGTTAGTTTTTTTTCCCTTCACGTTCCCCAGTGGAGCATAGGGCTTCAAGCTAGAGGCTTGAAGTTTCTGTAGCAGTGTTTATTTTTACAGGTTGGGGTTGCTAGCCTCATGCCCAACCTTTCCTCTTCACCAGCATTATTTCTGGCTTAGCGAGGTAAAGGAGTGCGTCGGCCGGGGATCGAACCCCGGACCATGTGCATGGTCGGCGAGCGTCCTAACCGCTATGATAATATTGTCAAATAAGTCTTAAAACTACAGTTAAAACTAGGTACAAATGATGCAGTAATGACTGTCCATGTATAATCTGAATTAGCAAAATGCAGCAGCTCATTAATACACTACATTGTAGTATATTTCTTCTGATATTAACTAAAGGATAACACAATTAAAATTCTAGTAACCGATAGGGAGTTCAAACATCATTATGTTCAGAGAACAAATATCTCTTTTTAACTACTTTTTTTTCATTCGTATTTAAGCTACGGAAAAAGGCATTAAGTGGAACTAAAAACTTCTTCATTCAATACACCTATGATAAGAAAAAAGGTAATTAACATAATGTTTAAGCGGACAGGGTTGAAGTGGATGACTTACAAAACTTTAGAAGGTTATTAAATAAGTAAATTAGTATGATTTTAAAAGTCGGTTATGTTATCAAGAGTATTAAGAGTACTACGATGATTACAGTAAAGAAGGCGAAGATGAAGTGAAGTGGAATGAATTCAAATGATAACATAAAATTAAGAAAAGAACATTACTACTACCAAGGTAAAAAAAGGGGTAAACAAAACATGTTTGAATACCTGGGTCAGGTTTCTGTCGATGTATAGCTGCAACTTCAGTTATACATTAGTGGAGAAAATGTAGACTTTCAGAGTGATTGAATTTCACCCTATAGATAACCTTAGAAGATAAGCTACGTGGGATTGAATGATCTGACTCATAAAAGTGTTCATAGATGGAAGACTTCGTCATTATATGCTTGCCTTTCATTAAAATAACCGGGCAGTGTTCAGCCACGCGTTTTTGGAGAACAAGCTTACAACCTCTACTGCAACCAGAGCGGATGAACACAAAGATGAAGATAGTGAAGTAGTTTATCCTGCATGCATTCTCAGCCAAAGAATACTAAGTGTAGGTCTGAAGCATAAAAATGGCCTTTTATAGACAACTTTTAATAATTTCAGTAATAGTGTCATATTTAAATGCTGAACTCACAAACAGTGTCTTCACTTGCACTATGATTTGGCTGGGGACAGTTTCTTTCTTCATGTTCCCTTCAATAAGCCTTCTAGGATATCCATTATTTAAGGTTGTTTTACATGGGTTTTGCAGTTCTTTAACATACGTACCTAAAAAGGAAATTTTCAGAAATCTGGAGCATAGAGAAGGAATGAGATTTCCCTTTCTACCCTAGAGACGACTTAATTAATATTCCTGCTGTGCCTATATACACATTGTTGTTATTAATTCTCCACTTAAAGTTATTGATAACGTTTTGGTTGTTGACTGTAAATAAGCAAACATAGTCACGTTGCATGAGCGTAAATAGTTCTGCCGAGGAGAGTTCGTGACATTCATGAAGTCATAACCATGTTTACGTTTTACCATCCAAAAGAACTTGAATATTTAAACTATCTAAATTTATATATCAGTACTGATTTATGATGGATATACATCCTCTGGAAATGAAATCTACATTGATATTAATCAGATCTGTGGAGATCAAATATTTAAATTATATTTTTACATTTGTTAATTAAATATGAGACAAATTAAACAGTTTCATAGTATTCTTGATTATCTGGCTATCGAATGCAGTATAATATTAAAAACCAACCACTAATCCAAATAGCAGAGATTGGTA